AGAGAGAGAGAGAGAGAGAGAGAGAGAGAGAGAGAGAGAGAGAGAGAGAGAGAGAGAGAGAGATGAGAGGAGAGTAAAAGGGAGGTCCATCTTCAAAAACCTGGCTACTGCAATTGAATCCATGGGACTGATGATGCCTTCTGCAATGGAGTTAAAGCAATGTACTTCTTCTCAACAGCAGCGGTTCAGGTAAATGGATACCACTCAGAGGCCTTCAAGCTGTCCAGATCACTGCGACAAGGCTGTCCTTTGGCACCCCTCCTGCTCGTGCTCCAACTGGAGGTATTGCTGAATGATATCCGTTCGCATCCTCTTTTGCAAGGGTTAAGACTCCGACATGGGAAGGAGGGTCGCGTCAAGGCATTAGCGGACAATCTGCTGGCCCTGTTAGCTAACAGACCCGTTTCGCTGCAAGCACTGAAGCAATGTCTAACGAGGTATGCGGAGCTGTCAGAGGCAGAAGTAAATTGGAGTAAATCCATTAACTTTCTGCCACCAGACTATCAGCTTTCTATGGAATGGGGGATGCGCGAAGCGCAAGGGGTTGAAGCGGAGCTGTATTTGGGTGTCCAGCTGGCTCTGGGGGACTGCACAAAAGCTCAGTTTGCGATTATGCAGGAATTAAGTATAGAAACACATTTGCAGCTGGGGTGCAGCCCCCACCTGTCCTTAATAGGGAGGGTTCTTGCAGTGACAGTGGCTGCATTCTCTATCTTGTGGTTCGTGGCCAAGGTGCGAAAGTTATCCAAGCTGCTGGTGAAGGGGGTGAAGGCTTTCGCGTGAAGATTCATCGAGAAGCCAAACTCCGACGAAGATAAAGGTTCTATCTCGAAAGTGGCGTGGGATACACTATGTGCACCGAGAAACAAGGGTGACTTAGGTCTACTGGATTCGGAGTTGCAGAATGTCAAGCTACTGTCCATTTGGATAGTTAAGGTAGCTACTACAGAGCTCCGAAGAGATTGGTGTCTTCTGGCGGATAAGCTGTTATGCCAACAATGGGGTTTGGCACGGTCAAAGGATGTGTGGGTGGAAGTAATGATCTAGGTGTTCCTAAATAAGAGGAGCAAATTTCATCACATCTAAATTTTGGCGCGATATTTTGTCCGCATGGCAAAACTGCAAACCTGATAAACGGACGTTCAAAACTCAAGAGGTGAGGTGCTGAAGCAACACTTGTTTGAAAACCCTTTGCTGCTCACCGCTACCGGAGTTCCATTCAGTGCTTCAACGTCCCCAGGCTCCTTTGGGATCAAGTGGATCCAGCGTGGAGTTTCCACCCTGGGGGATTTGTGGGATGAAATCACTCGCCAGTGGAGAAAGCCAGACGAGCTTAAAGAAAAGCTGGGCATGCTTCCTCATCAGGAAGAGCGAATGAAGTGCCTCATTAACGCAGTCCCACCTGATCGGTTGCAGATGGTAAGCCCCGATTATGTGCCAGCTGTCGGTACTTGGTTCAGAAGGCAGGAAGGGACAGCTACAGAATTCTTGAGATTGGAAGGATGGAACAATACAGTCCTAGGCAAGTGTACGCTGTCCATGCATGAAAGAATGATAGTCGGACTTCCACATCTGAAGAAGGCAGGTATGGCCACAAATTATGGGACAGCTAACTCAAATAGAATCCTGCCAACTGAGCCGGGTGAAGTTTTGCCACCCAGATCTGGGAAGCTAGTAGCAGGGGGCATGTCATGTGACGAGATGGGAGTGGATCAAACAAGATGGGGCTGGAGCACGGATTCAGGAGTTGTCTGGGACCTGGCGAACCAAGAGGGAGCAATGCAGAAGAAACAGCGGAGGAAGGAGGAAGTAATCGCCAAGGGACTGGCAGAAGACGTTCCCACACTTGGAGCCCCCCAGCCAGAAGGAACTGCAATGCCTGTGGGAGCAACTAGCCAAGATCCCATCCCAGAAGTTCGCCTCCTTGCTCTGGCTACAGTCACATCAGACTATTCCCGTAGCCAGGT